ATCCTCATGTTCCAACAGGTCCATGTCCTTGTGCTGGGAGCCCCAGAGCAGAGTGCAGAGCTCCAGGTGGGGGTCTCATAACAGCAGCGTAGAGGGCCACAATCACCTCCCTCGCAGCTTTTGGTGCAGCCCAGAATATGGTTAGCCTTCTGGGCTGCAAGCGCACGTTGCCGCCTCATGTCCAATTTTTCTTACACCAATATCCACAAGTCCTCAGGGCTGCTCTCAATCCGTTCATCCCCCAGTCTGTACTCATGTTTGGGATCGCCCTGACCCAGGTGCAGGACCTTGCACTTGGCCTAGTCAAGCAAATCTCTCTCAGTCTTTCATCTCTTCCGAAATGAGCAGTAATATTCGCTCAATTTGTTGTCAAACTAAAACCAGAAAGATCCAGCCATTACAGCACAATGACTGTAAGACCCCCTTTCATGAAGAAATGTCATTGATATTTGGGCAACATCTTAGGAATTGTCACATAAAAAAAAAAAGAAACAAAAGAGATATCCCAAGATACTTTGAAATTTCTATGAGACAGATTGAATAAAAACAACCTGTTTCAGTGGGGAAACAATTGCTACTGCCCAAATGGGTATTATCGGTTTTATGTTGCTATCAGTTTTTCATCAAATAGCTACCAAAAACTACAGTGCATTCCAAGTTGCATACAGCAGACAGTGGATTTCACCTTTCAGCTAACCTGAGTGAAAGAGATGTTTAAACTTCCTGGTAAAAGCTCACAAAACATGATAAAGATGTGATTACTACAATGTAACTAGGACTGTGATACAAACTTTACTTTTAAGTTGATGATTCCCATGCAGGATCCAGTTTTCAACTAAGTGACAGCATTTCTCCTCCAGTTTTCTATGTTCTACCATTTCAGAAATTAGCACAGTAGTTGAAGAAGAGCCCATGGCATCAGAAGCATTTTTATTTTTATTTTTTTGAACTTGAGACCACTGTTGGATACACAAAGTTTAAATTTTCATAGAATACACGTCTTTGGGGCTTACATATTAGGTGATCAGACTTGACATATAGACTAATACATGACCACAGAACTTCAGTCAGGTGCTTCTGAAATTGGTTTCAGTTTGTAGTTTCACTATATCAGGTAAAATTTAATGTCAAAGGCTTTAGTTCTAAAAATAAAAACAAAAATAACAAATCATCATCTGAAGTGAAATATCACCTTGAAAACAACAGACTTTAGGATAAAAAAAAAAAAGTGCATGTATTTTGCAAGACACATGAAGGATTTAAAAAAAAAGACATTTTCTAATCTATAAAACATAAATAAACATATAATTTTGGACTACAGGACTTTAAATATGTCAACTTTTAATATTTTAATGGAAATTGGTTAAGTCACTTTAAAATACTACGTTTATGAGCAATGCCAAGGTGAAATACACAGTGAAGAAAAGACACCAATGCACACTTGCACTTGGCGAGGTTCAGACAAATCGCTCTGCTTACTTCCTGGTAAACCCCAGTAGGAATGTTTTAATCTGAGTAGCAATCACAGCCCAGGTCTAACTACAGTTACTCAAATGTATTGATCCAGTGGGTCACGTAAACCATCAACTGTAACAGTTATACCTAGAGGAAAGATGGAAACACTTGGTCGTTTGATTAGATAAAATCTCCAACAGGCAGAGAATTTCACTACATTTCCACTGCAGTTAGTACAGCAGTTACTGAAATTTAGAAGATAGAGACCCTGCCAAACTGAGCACAGCTTCAGTACTGCCTTTGGTACTTTTCACCTGTCAGATTATGCAGTTGTCCAGGGAAGTACATTTATAGGATCATTTCTACATTTCATCAAATGAATTTGTCACAGCAATCTCGATTTAGGCTGACTTTAATCCCAGACATGACAGCAAGGGTCTGCCAGAGGAGGTCAAGTGATGTGACTACGGAGGCAGCAACCACAGCTGCTTTCCAAACTGAACCATCTATGTGGCAGTATGGCACCACATTTACAACTACTCCACTGGAGATGACGAGAACAAGCAACAGTCTTGCAGTGGGCGGGGAACAAGCCCATAAAGTAAAGCAAACTTGTCACAACATAAAAGAAAGTAGCCCTAGTACTTGCTGGAACACAGAACTTCTCAAAAGCTACAGCAATGCAGAAGGCAGCAGACATGGATGAAGAAAGATGGTGTAAAATGCGCCTATTGAAACAAATTTGGGAAGAAAAAAAAAAAAAGATGGCACTTTTACTTATATTTTCCTTTACCTGCCTTGTTGACCAAATTTTCCAAGTCTGTCCACCTCATTGACACGTTGTCACTTGAAGACTCAAACTAACAAACAGAAAAACTATGCTCTTTGCCTCACCCATAGAAGTTGGCAAGATTACTGTCTTTCATTTTCCATCTAGAAAAGACAGCCTCTTCAATGCTTTTCTATAAATGCTTCACATTTTCTTCAAATCAACTCCCCCCTCAAAAAAAAAAAAAAAAAAAAAAAAAAAAAAAAAAAAAAAAAAGCGCTGGTCATCATTAAAACAACTCTGAGAAAGCAGAGGAACAAATGACATGAAGGATACAGCCAGCCCAACAAAGTCACCCTTTCAGCCTGTTAGCATATTTCAAGGTTTCTATCTTTGAATTCCCAATCATCGGCCTATAGTTGGGCTCCCTCTCTACCAAGTTTATATCCAGAGTAAAAATCATCCCATACACAACCGAATCCACAAAGAATTTTTTGTTAAAAAAGGAACTTACCTTCATGTGTATTGCTTATAAGCGGATTTCTCATTTGTATTTTGGAAGAACCATGGCACCTATCAGCAGGAGCAGTTAGCATTCATACTCAGCCTAACAATCTCAAATAGATTTTACACTTTTTTCATTCAAGACACAAGATGAAGATTCAGAAGGAAAAATGGAGATATAGCAAATTGCACTGGACTTCAATCACCAGATTGAAAAAATACTGTATTGCGTTAATTACAATGAAATATCCACAAAATGGTCAATAACGTGGTAGTTCACAGAGAATTTAAATTATCCAATATTCAACGTTTCAAGTCAACTTGAAGTTATATACCTCCCAAATTAGTATTCACTACATTTAAATTATTTATGATTTCTGATTTTTCAGGCACGGCTCTGTAAATTGCATCAAAAGACAAAACTTGTCAAAAAAGAACAGCTACTTAGAAAAAAACAAACACAAGCAACAGTTTGACCACATCTGAGTCCAAAAGCATTAACAATTTTGGCACTTCAAGTAAACTTTGCACTTACACAATGAACGAAAGTGACTGGTTTTAAAAGTAAAAAAAAAAAAAAAAAAAGCAGTCTAGTGATTGCAAGCATTTTGAGAGACGCACTTTTGCCCAATGAATACGAATACGATGCGTAACCTTCCTAGTGAGGATGACCATGGTCAACAGCCTACTGAGCCTTTCATACAAGTCAACATTGGGAACACAGCCTAAGACGAACAAACAGATTAATAAAGACTGCTCACTGTTTAACTTCAGCCCAACATCCAGCAAGCAGAACTTTTCTTGTCATTCTTATGCCTATGGAAAATGACGTCCCATTGTTGGTCATTGAACAAATCCAGAAACACGCAACACGCAAGCATTGGCCACAGCACGGTCTACGGGCCCAACTCTTCAAACCCGACAGAACTTTTCCTGAAGTCAAAGCAAGTTTTGGGCAATTCTTTCCTACACAGAGCGGTCCCTACGTTTCTCAGCCACTTCCAGGGCTCATCCCTTCAAGACTGGCTTAAGCCATGCTATGAGGATGGGGGAAACTTGCCAAAGCAATTAACCGTGATTTATCTGCCTTGGGAACACAGGCCTTCAGTCCTCTCATCCATCAGTTCAGCACCTCTGCTCAGCCTTCAACTTGCTTCAGACATAAGCCCACACGGGGTACCCTTCACGGGCTTACACAGGTCTGTTCGCCCACGGGTGTAATGCCACTCTGAGGAGACACCTGCGCACCAGCAGCGCGCAGCGAGGCGTCTCCTTCTGCCAAGTGTCCTGAAGGCCGCCTGTCTCCTTTGACCTTAGCATTCCAGCCTCTAGATATAAATATTATTATTTTTTTTATAAATCGCGGACTGGCTGCCTGCTAACCATGCGATAAACACCGTTTTGGCTTGGGGTGACTACCCCATTTACCCAAAAGACAAGACAGGCTCCGAAGCGGCCGCCGCTTCGCACTCCCAGGGATGACTTCTCGTCAAAATAAAAACAAGGAAGTTCAATCCAAGAGGACCATGATGCCTTTCAATTAAGGGCAAGGATGTGAAAATTGCCACACACAGGACAGGAAATTCGAAGTTGGGCTGTCACCGCACCCCCCGCCGCCACCCCAAAACCCTTCCCCTGCTGCCAGCCTGCCCTGCGGCCGCCCCGCCGAGGGCCGGCGTGCGGGAGCCCCAACTCGGGAGCCCCAACTCGGGAGCCCCCCCGGCTCCTCGGGCAGCCGTGCCCGGCGCTGGGGCTCGGGGCAGGTCGCGATCGTGGCGTTTGGCATCGCGGCGCGCAGGATGGTGGCACAGCACTCGGCTGCGGGGACGGCGCCGGCAGGGAGCAGCGCACCAACACCCCCCCCCCCCCCTTTTCCCTCTCCCTTTACACACACGCACACGCACACACGCAGCCCGGTTCCGGACCCGGGCGCTAACTCGGCTTTGCACGCCTCTTTGCACGCCTCTTTGCACGCCGCTGTGGCGCGCTCGCCCCGGGGCCGAGCGGCGGCGGCTGTCAGCGCTGCTCCCGGGCAGCGGGGGGACCGGGGGGGGACCCGCGGGGTCCGGAGGGGACCGGGGGGGACCGGGGGGGGCCGCGCAGGCCACGGGCGGCAGCGCTCGGGCTCCTGCCCTCCTTCCGTCCCCCCGCCGGGGGCAGCCGGGCCGGGGCCCTGCCGCTGGGGGTGACACGGGGCCAGGCGAGCCGCGGGCGGGGCGGGGTGCGGCGGGGTGGCCGGCGGGGCCGGGGCCGGCGGCGGGGGGGCTGTTACCTCGTAGAGTTCCTCGGAAGCCATGCTGGGGAGCCTCACAAGGTGGAGTTGGGTGCGGGCTCGCGGAGACTTTGTTTCAGTTGGTGGCCGTGTGGCCTCCTCCTCCCCCGGCTCCTCCGTCTCCCTCCTCCTCCTCCTCCTCCTCCTGTTCTTGCTGCTCCTCTCTTCTTCTTCTTCTTCTTCTTTTTCTTCTTCTTCTTCTCCTTCCTCCTCCCCCTCCTCCTCCTCCTCCTCCTCCTCCGCCCCGCGCGTCTCTCTCCAGCGCACCCAGCAGCCCCGCTCGCTGAATGCCGCTGAGCTGCCGCTGCCGCTGCCGCTGCCGCTGCTGCTGGCGGCGGGGCTGCGCGCACCGCAGCTGCGCAACGCGGCTCGCGCCCCGATCGCGAGCGCGCCCTCGCGCTCTGCTCCCCCCCCACACCCCCCCTCCCCTCCCCTCTCCTCCCCTCCCTCGCTCCGCCACCTCCCGCGGGCGCGCGCACGCGGCGGCGCCCCGCTCACGCGCGCGCGCTCCCGCCTCCTCCTTTCCTCCCCCCCCACCCCCCCTCAAGCCCTCCGTTCCCCGGCCCGGCCCGCTCGCTCCCTCCCCAGGAACACTAATCGAGCGCAGAGAGAGCGCCGCCGCTCCGCCTCGCCGCCCGCCCGGCACCATCCTCCCCCCCCCCCCCCTCCTCCTCCTCCTCCTCCTCCTCCTCCTCCTCCTCCTCCGCCTCCCCCCGCTTTGATCTCCCATTGTCTGCCCAGCCGGGGCTCGGGGCCGCCCGCGGGACGGGCGCGGGCTGGTGGGGGGCACATGCACACGCACACGCGGCACCCCGCCGCCCTGCTTCCTCCTCCTCCTCCTCCTCCTCCTCCTCCTCCTCCTCCTCCTCCCGTCCAGGTGAGCGTCTGTCCCGCAGCAGGGAGCTGCGCCCTGCCGCAGAGCAGCGCAAGTTAAAGCGGAGTTCATCACACGCGTGCAGTCAACCCACACACTGACTCAACAAATTTTTGATCAAGTTGCCTCTTGCTTCTATTTTATTTTATTTTTTTTTGGCCAAAGACTTGCAAAAGCATTTCTCAGAAACGGAGACACCCCTCAATATTCTACTTTGATAAACGAGTTTGGGACCGCTGTCCAGGAGGCATCCGTTCAGAAAATGCCGATCTACTTACGGGATTTGGGTGATTTGTACAGAAAGGACTGGAAATTCCTTTTGGAGATGCGGTTTACCCATCCATCCGTTCTTCGTGACCAAAAGATCACTTCCTCCAGGCCAACGTTCTTCCTCTAGGTGACTGAAAATCTGGCACTGGACAGCCAGATGGACACCATTTCCATAGACAAAATGTCTGCCACCTTCAGTACTTTTGTAATTTCCTAACTAGCCTATGAAGAGTTTAGAACTGGTTGGTCTTGAAACCATTTCTTGAGGTCTTCAAGAGCTGGGCTTAACCTAGGTATTGTAAAAGGGGGCTGTTCAGTGACAGGATCGTTGACCCAAGTATGGGCCTGTGTAAGAAATGGACGTGGTTGAGGTCTAGGATCTCCGTGACTGCCTTCCTCTTGACCCTGAGGTGAGCATTCACTCAGTTTCTGGGCCGTGGTCTGAATCCTTTTTGAGCCGTACACAGCATACCATCATTGTAGCTGTCTTTTGAAGGACAACCTTTTAAAGTATTCTGTAGTCATGTTTTGGCAAAGGGTTGGCAGCAATGGTTGCTGAAGATGTTACTTCACTTGCAAGGCATAAGCATAGAACACAGGAAGTTCTTCTTTTCTTGCCCCCTCTTTTCTGTTTTAACGTTGTAGTCAAACAGATCCTAGGCGTTTTGTTCTTCTGGATGACTAAAAAGAAATACAGTTCATCAGTACTTCTCTATTTTTAGTACTTCATGGAAACAACAAAAGCTCAGAGTTATTACTAATTTTAAATGTTTCAACCACCATCCACATTACATCTTCATTGAAGGACGTTCTTCTTTTACACATATTCATTGCTTGCAGTGCCATTAATTCTTCTTTGCTGCCTATTCTAACCTTTTGTCCTTGTTGCTTTGTAAGACTTCTCAGGTGAATCAGCCATACTGTTCAAAAATACCACGTGATACTGCTGTGGTTCAAGCATCTGAGAGGTACCAAGTTTTGTGACTAGTGTCAAGGTTTTGCATTTGGGTTTTGTTACATTAAGTTTCACGATAGCTTGATCTCTTCTTGCTCTTTCTAGAAAAAATTGAGTTGTCTAAAAGTTGTGTGTGTTGTCTAGATCAGCATTTCCTTCTAATTTTTTAAAGTGTTTCACACTTTCCTCACTGAGGCAGGATGTATCTTTTTTATCTGCCTTTTCTATTGAACAGTCTTTGTTGTTAAAATGAAGCTTTACAGCAACTTTGTAAATGGCTTTATTAACGTGGCATACCGATGTTTCTAGTAAAGAGGTTGTATGGAATACAGTTACTGAGCAGTCTAGGACAAGTGAAAAGCCAGGCCTGTTTGAAATCTGAGAGTAGCAGGGCGTCTTCTTAGAGGTGAGTGAAACAGCCTTGGTTAACCCAGTCTTGGAAAGAATCAGACAATATGAAAAAAGCACAAGTTTTAGCATACAGTGCTTCCAGTTTGAAGAAGACAACTGCCTGTAGTGGCAGTCTTGGCAAATGTCGGGACAATCATTCTTTCAATTAGCAGAGTGAAGAATGTTTAAATGTATGGACAAGGTGCAGATCATGGAATCACATTAATTTAAAAAGGTCAACTCCATTTCAATATCACCATGTGCCACCGAAATGTCTATAAAGATCTTCATTGATGGTGGAATGGCTGAATTTGGGATAGTTATGGTGTTAGACCATAGCTGCCTAAAAGTTGGCATTAGTGAAAATATCACAGAGGTCTGTATTAGATGGCAATGAGTCTACACTTCCAGAATTTGCTCTGACCAAGGCATCTCAGCCATATGTGATATGCAGACATTTATCCACAAGATCATAACTCTTGACATTAAGGTGACTATCAGTAACTTTTTTGATCGGTCATTTCAAGTTTGTTGTTGTTTTTGTTTTTGTTTTTAATTTATATTTGGGAGTAGAACTTGGAAATAAAACATTTAGTAGTTGAGATGTAGTCAGTGATTACCTGAAGGATTTCAAAAGATGTGACTGATAAGGTCAAATGTGATGGTCTACGCTATAGATATTAACTTCTGATCAAATTATATCATGGAATCACAGTATTACAGAATATTTAGGGTTGGAAGGGACCTGTAGAGGCCATCTGGTCCAACCTCCTGCTCAAACAGGGCCACCTTCGAGCAGGTTGTCCAGGACCACATCGAGATGGCTTTTGAAGATCTCTAAAGGGGGAGACTCCACGACCACTCTGGAAAACCTGTTCGATCACCCACACAATACAGAAGTGCTTCCCGATGTTCATATGGAATTTCTTGTGTTCTGGTTTGTGTCTCTTGTCCTGGTACTGGGCACCACTGAAAAGAGCCTGGCTCCATCTCATTGCATCCTCCTTTCAGGTATTTATACACACTGATAAGATCCTCCTTGAGCCTCCTGTTCTCCACACTGAAGAGTCCCAACTGTCTCAGCCTCTCCTTATAGGAAAGATGCTCCAGTCTCTTGATCTTTCTGGTGGCCCTCCATTGGACATTTTCCAGTATGTCCACATCTCTCTCATCCCATGCTACTTTTTCACAGTCACTGAAAAGCCAGTCAGCATAGTCAATGGAATTCAGGGCATGCTTCGTCTCATCTTAGATAGCTGCCTATGTCTGGCCAGATGAATTGCACTTTAAATTTGATTGACTATGTTGGCTGAATTTTTGCTGATTGAAAATATGATACCTATCCTTCAACTGCCTAAGAAAGGATAAGATGAATCCTACTCACATTTGTATGATCTTGTCTTTTTCGTCTAAGACAACTGGATGATTTAAAACTCCATGTTAGCCAAACAACATTGAAAGATTAGGTATGTAGTATATAATATCCATTTGCCCCTAATATTTTCACTTTATATTTTGATCCTATTCCTATTTGCCCTCATCTTAACTCCTAGGATATGGTTCATCCTTGTACTCTGATAGTCTCTTGAAATTTCTATCCCTCTTCCTTTCCCCATCTCTGTCTCATTCTCTTGTCTTCTAAGTGTCTTGGGATATTTAAGTTAAAATAAACAATTACAAATGCTAGGTAAAATAACAACAACAAAACACTTTTATTGAAATCTGTATCTATAATTTCAACACAAAGCTGGGGATTATGTTTCCCATTTTGTTGTAGGGGTGGCATAAACAGAGGTGTTTTCAGTCAGAAAGATGTTTTTTTGTTCCGTGACATGTTGTGAAAAATGGAATCACCTAAAGGAATGGCTGTTAAACAAGACTCTTAAAGTGAAAGTCTAGAAGATGGAGTCTCCTTATTCTCTCAACTACTAAAACATGATTTGCATTGATCTGAAAAACATTGACTTTTGGATTAGATTAGGACAGTAACATAATCATATGTAAATAACTGAAGAAAACAGTGGTAATCATTACTTACACTAATAGATTACTGGTAATTTTTGTGCATTTTGTTATCATCATATCTAGTTCTTTATACAAAAGGGCATAGTTTATTTCCCCAGATTATTGCTTTCAAAAATGTTAGCAGATGCTCCACTGTTTTCTTGTGGACTTCAATAATTTTTGTTAACAAACAATAATTTTTCTTCACAATCTACCCATGAATTGAGCTTGTATTGTAATCCATCATCTACCCATGTAGAACTGAGACAAGAAATTAAAGTCAAAATTGTCAGAGATATCTGCTGCTCCATTAAAAAGGCCTAGATTTAAGTACCTACGATAATATCATATAGCCACAGAATCATAGAATCATTCAGGTAAGCAAAGACCTCTGAGATCATCTAGTCCAACATTTAACCTAGTACTGACAAGTCCACCACTAAACCATGCTACTAAGTTCTTCATCTGCACGTTTCTTGAAGACCTCCAGGGGTGGTGACTCAACCACTTCCCTGGGCAACCTGTTCCAATGCCTCACAACCCCTTCAGTAAAGAAACCTCCTAATATCCAAGCTAACCCTCCTCTGGTGCAACTTGAGGCCATTTCACCTCGTCTATATGTAGTATGTTAAAATACGTTAAAAGTAGCATTTTTATTGATACAAGTTGCAGGTGTAAATACTTCTGCAACTCCATCTGTCTGCCCAACATCTTGAATTGAACCTCTCTATGTTGAATTCTGTATATATTCTCTATATATTGAAGATATATAGAGAAGACATCCTTGGCCATTATGCTTTAAAAATGACTTGCTTAGTATCAAATTAAAGCTCCGTGACAGAAGTAGGACTAAATTATAATCTCAAGGGACAAAATGCATCTTTTATCTATAGGACCTGTGTTTCTTTTCCTGCCTTCTCCTACCTCTTTCACTACCAGCCTTTCTAGTTTTGCAACACATGACACTGGAATCTGAAATACAACAGCTTCCATCACTGCACAGGGACAGACCTAGCCCTGACTATGGGAGCCATGCAGTCAATAGTAATGGAAATCTGATTACTTTGTTTACATCCCTGGTAAATCTGTCTGCCACACATCCCTGATTTATTCGTAGAAGGTGCTCTGTGCCATGAATGAGGCAAAAGCTCCATAGAAATTGTGATGTGAGAAGCTGACTGGATAGTGAGCATGCACACAGACAGTGAACATGTACAGGTATTACCTAACTTTCAAAAAGTTTGTCTGTAAAGCCCCAAACTGGAAACAGAAAAGAAAAAACATCCTGTGCAATCACATTGTTCTCCCTTGCAGCTCACCCCATCGGTCCCCAGCAGAACCTAGACGTTGACATCCACATCGGAGTTTTAGCTACTTCGTTGAATGCCTTGGTCCTATTCACACTGGTGCAATCTTACCACTGTAATGTAGCTTCCATTGCCTTGGCAAGGATGAGAACCGGTTTACAAAACAATTCAGGAAACAAAATCCTACCTTAATGGTTGTGTTGGGATGGAAGCATGGAATGAAGCTGAAGGATGATTTTATCTTTACAGAACTCCTTAAGTGGCTGATCAGCCATAACAGTTTGCTTATTCTCATAGTCAAAGTAATGATCATTATGAAGACTGCATTACCTGAAAATTAAATTAGGGAAAGTCCTCTTAAATGTTTGAAAGGAGACGCCATAAACTAAGAAAGAAGTAGGCTGAGAACTGAGGTAAAAGTGGGTTCTGTTTCTGAAAGCTAGTCTTTCTTTCCTTTCATCTAGAATCTCTAATTTTCCTTCTCATGTCTAAATACAGTTTTAAAGTCACTGATATGTGGAGAGTATAGGCAGCTGAAATTACGTGCTTTCATAGTGAATACAAAGAACCCTACAGATCTTTAAGAGGTAGATATTCCAATATAGCTCATGCAGGATACATTGATATGTGTTCATAAAGAATTTGATTTTTCCCCCAGGTTATGAGTATGACATTTACAAGTTGATTTTTCCAAAACTTAAAAATCTTCAAGATTTTTTCTCAGCATGACAAATCAAGCATTTTCAAAATCCTATAACCAGTGTTGACAAGAGAAAAGAATCTTAGTCCAAGTGACAAAATATTAGCTGTTCTCTGTGGTAAGGGCACGTTTAGATATTGAGAAAGAAAAGGGTATTCCTTTTGATAATTTTAGAAAGATTAACAAACATTGTTTTTTTCCTAACCAAAAGGAAAAATCAAAAGCTTGACTTGACCATTTTTTTTTCCCTTTTTCTTAAGTAATTGAAAAAAAGGAAAACTGGAAAATTCAGAGGAAAGCTCTGTCCTAGAGCAATAGTAAGGCATCATTAGGAATAAAAATTATGAACTTTCTGATCTAACAGTTTTTGCAGATCTGAAATGGGTCAAAGATCTATGGGTTTGTTGGTTTGTTTGTTTCAGTTTCAAGATTTAACACTGTATTTTTCTGTGTCCAGAAGACTAATTTAACATGGTAATCTCAACATATCAAGTAGTGTTGTGATGTTTCAACTAGAGTTTGTGAGAGAATGGCACAGATTGTAATCCTTTCTTTCCTCCAGCTCACAGAAATGCAAAATATTGTCTGAAGAAGATGATGAAGAAATAAACAGCCACAGGGTTGGCTTCTTACATGTAGGTCTGGTTCTTTGCCTTCTACCCAGTACTGGGAATATAGGTCTAGAAATGACCTACTACTTCATTTCCCTTGACTGCCTAGGGCAAGGCTTTCTAGACAGCAGATTAAATTTAGACTTTGTGTAATCATCATGAAGTAGACTTATCTGTTCCACTGTAGCGTAGCCTAGTTCTACCAGTATATCTCACCAAAATTATATTAATATATAAGAATATTATTCCAATCAGTTAGGATTGGAGTTCGAAACACCATTCTTTCAAAAAATAAAAACAAATAGGCAAACTGCCATTCAACATAGGGAGGGGAAAGTAAAGTGTTTGACTTGATTCGGCATTAGACTAGAAATTTGACTGTGAATTCAATATAGTCTGAACTAAAACAATGTTGTTGTCCATAAAGGAAGAGCTGCAAAAGGTAAGGAATCTTTAGTGGGAAAATTAATGAAGTTTCTTGGAGGTGGTTCCTGAAGAGTTCCTTTTTGGGGGAAGTATGGCCCTGTCAGCATATAGCATCGTAAAATTGTGACAAAGTAGAAGAGGAAGTTGTCTGAATGCCCTTCATTTTGTTCCTTATCTGTTGTTGAAGTTGTCCAGAGGGTTTACTGATCTGACTGGTGGTTCATAGATGAGTCAATAACCTTTTGCAACAATCATGGTGATACTAGAGATCAGAACTATTGTTATGGTTTCTTGAGACTTCCTCAGCATTGCCACTGGATATAAAATTTATTATATTTCCTAGGGATAGACTATGACAATATGATCTTTTAACATGGAAGCTTAATTCAACTTGACTTCTCTTCTTAGGTCAATTGACAGATGGAGGTTTTGTAGCTGAGAACTAATAAATCTGAACTTGCAGACTCATTAAATTTCCCTCTTTTCAGGTAGCCCTCACTAACAAAGGTTGGTGCATGCAGTCAGGAGCCTTGTTGTTTAGATTGGTGGCATTGGAACAAAAGGCCTAGTTCCGGAAGTTTGCCTGTGTTAGGATATGTTGAGTTCTACTGGATTTGCTCTGTTAATTAGTAGCAGCTGGTAGCTGGGGATCTTCCGGTATCATTTTTCAAGTTTTGCTGTCAATAAACAAGGGTAATACACTAGTAAACATTTGGTTTTGGCATCAAGCCTCTACATGTATATCATCTTGAGCTGTGTTCATTGTCTTCACACAAGGAAACTGTGGATTGGCAAAGCATGGATACACTTCTATCTATGTCTTTATACACTGCAATGGGAATGACTTTTCTTCTGGAAGGTCAAGCGTTAACACAGGCACATGCCATATCTTTTATTTTGTCATTAATAACTTTTGTGTTGCAGCATAATACTCATTTTTCTTTTTAAAAAAGAATAAAGTCCAAAGCCATGTCTAATCAAACTGAGAAACTAATTAAATGTCAACCATGTTTGTGTATTTATGTCACATTGTACTAATTGAAATTCCACAACTGATCACATCTGTAGTCTGGAAGGAACTCTTGCCATTAACCATTCCCTGTATCTACCTTTTTGTGTTTTACCCTTAGATCACTATGAAGCAGTAAGTAGAACGAGTGAACAAAGGAGATATGAGGACACTCCAGTGAGTACTTCCTCAAGGAGTCAAGCAGTTATCAAGCTGTATTGTTGGCACAACCCAATAAGGAGAAGCTACAAAAGCTATACAAAGAAGAACATACTTATGATGAATATTGTTCTGGGGAAAACAAAAAGCTCCAAGCTGAATCTTTTTAGGTGAAATATTCCTTTAAAGAATTTGTCAAGAGGCATGTATCCAACTTGAAAAACTGTAATCCAAATGGCTTAAATTTAGCAAAGATAACAACATAAAAGTGTCTTATTCCAGAAAGTGTCAAGCAACATTAACTGTAGGCGTTGCTATATGTATTGCCTATAATAAAAACAGTATAACATAGCATGTAACGCACTCCCCAAAGATACAATCTCAGATCAGCACAGGCATGCATAAATACTACACAGTATAAAGATTTTTATAAAATAAATATGGGATGATTCCATTACTCACAAATAGCATAGTTATGAGTTAGTTTTATATGGGTCATCCCAAGTGAGTGCAGAAGGTAACATCTTTATATATCACTTCGTAGTGTTACGTGCTTTCAATATAATACATATATTGGAGAGGAACTACTTGAAGTGTAGGTTTGAAAATCTGAAAAAGAGTACAGTAGTTGTTGTCTCTATCATTTGTACCTACAGAGGTACAAATGATGATGATACCCACTCTAATTAACTTGAATGAACTAATTTAAGGTTCAGACAAGACAAAGACTTAATACCTGTAAAAGACCACAGAACTACTGAAAATTATTTCTGCATATGGAAGCAGTTTTAAAGTGCAATAAAGGATTTTCTACAACTTCAAAGCCTGGAACACTGGCCCCTCCCAAGGGAATACACTTCTTACACAAAGCTCTGCAGAACGACAAGGAAAAAAACATGTCAACCATCAAAAATGTATTACGACAAGTATCACTAATTGGTTGTATTTCTATTAAAAGTATCTAAGTCCAGAGAAGAGAACAGGGACTGTTCATCTTCCTGTCTGTATTTAAAGAATCTTTCATGTGGAACACTTCAAGGAAACTGGAGATGGTATCACAGAAGAAACTTTTCTGCTTCTGCATGAAACAGGAGAAGTTGAGGGCTCAGGGCCTGCTCCAGATCCTATTCTTTGTGTTGGTTGTTCTTGTGTATGCTTGAAAGGTACCAAGGAAAATAATTGCTGAGTTTCATATAGTAAAAGGAAGTATATATTTTTTTAAATGTTTTAAGGACAAACTCCATAAGTCAGGTGATAAAACTCTTATTGACTTTAAAGGGTTTTATAAAGCAGTTTCTAAATGTCAGCAAACATAATTTTACTAAAGGAAAGTATTCATTCTTGGGTGAAGAATGCCTTGTATCCAAGGGGTAATAAACTCAAAAGATGGTAAGATGGTCCGTGCTTTTTTGTTTTGTTTTGTTTTGTTTTGTTTTGTTTTGTTTTGTTTTGTTTGTTTGTTTGTTTGTTGTTTTTTTCAGAGTTGTAAGTTTAAGAGCAGACAGTGGAATCGCTATTATCTTTTACCAGAAACCTGACATGGCATTTTCAGTGTTACAGGACTGGCTTCACCTCTGGCTCCTGACTTGTCTGATCCTGGGCTTGTGTTTGTATGCAATCTTGTTCTTCTTTTATTTTTAGTCAGGAGGCAAGCACTATCTTGTATGTACTAATGCCTATCATCCTGCAGATCTGACTGGTTTCAGACACCTGTTTTTCTTTTGATATTGACAAACTGCTCCCTTAAAAGAAGGCACCTTTATTTAGTAGTTGGAATAAAGCATGAGAGACAAGGGGATTTTAGAAACACCAAAGAGCCTAAGCGCATATTTTATTTAATTTTGGTTAAGGTCCAGCTGGAACCAATCCACTTCATAGGGTTAGGCAGGAATAACATAGTCATGCTGATAGTCATCAAATAGCTTCTCACAATTCTCTCCCCCCCACACCCCAAGGACAGGCAACTTCTAACAACTGACACAATCAACTTTGAAAGAGTATTTCAGGTCAAATAACCTGATTTGCACGAGTGAGTTTGAAAACCACTGGGGATATCAATGAACGAAGAACTTCATTTGGGGAATACTCTCATCCACAGAAGGTTAACCCAGGTGTTTAGACGCATGTGTCTGTCACCTGACAGAACTGGGAAGTGATAATGTACCTCAAAACGTGAAAGTCAAATGTGTTCATTGCCTTGTATATAGTACAGAAACATCATATTAAGGACAGATCTAAATACAGCTTGAAAAATTATTCAAAGGCACACCCACATTTGTCACAGTCACATTCCTATTACATTGTGTAAGAAGAAAACAATATCTGGCAAAAATAAAATAAACAGAGGCACATGAATGAAACAGAATTGGTTCCAATGATTTTAGATTTATCTGGTATTCTAAGGTCTGTTAAAATATGTGCTTGG